TCGTTCGAGACAGACAACAACGAAGACACTTCAAATCCGCCAGAGGTTGCCGTTGAAGTAGAAGTGCCAGTTGAAGGAGGCTCTGCTAGGACGTCGACGGCGACGCTTTCGGGAGAAGGAGGTAGTGTGGGGTGAAACCGAAACTGATTGACGTTCGGTAATTGGATACCAAAGTACCGCTAACAAACATTCCCATTTCCCTTTACAGGCTGTACAAACTGCGTGGCGTCTAACACTGTGATACAAGACGCTGAGAGCAAAGACCAAAACAGCACCCACACGTAACATTACCCTTTTGTATTATAATCATTCCATATCCCTATAGTGTTGTTACGTTTGCATCAATATAACTTCGTTCAAGCCCCTCGAGTCTTCTCCTTGTTGGGTGCATACTACAAAGTGGCGACCCTGCCAGGATGAAAATCCAAGGAAAACCTTCTGGCGACTCCGAACGGTCACCGAAAAGCGAGGCTGATCTACCGTCGGATATAACGCCCGCACTAATCAGCATTCTGGACCGTCTGTCCACGAACAGCCAATATTCAAAACCGTGTCCCTCGATCCCAATCCCGGAAAAGTTCGCCATCGGTAATAATTATAACCGATGGGAGAAACAAAAACAAATCTACCTTCGACACTTTCCACATGAGAAACACGCCGACCTGGTGTACAGCCTTCTGACTGGCGAAGCATTCGATATTGTCTCCGAATCCCGAACTCTAGATGACGAGATAACAGACGACACCTTTAAGAGGATCCGACAACTTTTAGACACCCCCAAGCTAGCGATCGAGTACCGTCGGAAGTTCCACTCCTGCCGGCAACTGGCTGACGAAAACGCCCTCACCTGCGTTCGAACTCTGCGAAATTTAGCAGACCGCGCATTCCCAAATCTGTCCAGCCCTGAACGCGATCGGCGGATCTTAGAACAACTCGTTGAGGGCACATCATCCACCAGCGCCCAAAAAGAGTTCTATCTCCAACACCCTGAAAAATTAAACAAAGCCGTCGAAAAGGGTGGAACTGTTGGAGAGACGCGACGTAGCTATAGCCCGCCAAAGCAGAGCGCAGTCTTCTCACACACCCTATTCTTTCCATGTTTGGACTCCCCGATACGCACCACCGCGAAGTACAACCAACTTTCGCCGACCCGGATGCTGAACTTGGCGGGGCCGACGTGACCAACGAAGGCTTTAGAGTGGAACCAGAAGAGGTGAGTCCCCACCAAATATCATCACCCGTCTCATCCGCTTCTCCCTACGCGCCGTCCGTCGCCGCACCACTGACATTCCAACATAAAACCATATCCGGCCTGATAGGCACTGGGTCCTCCTACAGCCTGATCCGGGCAGACATCACCTGGAACCTACCGGGGAATACAAAACACAGCAACCACGACCACCTAGTAGCCGCAAATGGTTCCACAGTAAAGACAGAAGGAGTGTTAACTGCAACGTTCAGCCTGGGAACACACCGATTACAGCACACGTTTATAATCTTCCCAGAAATTCCATTCGAGTGCATAATCGAGCTGGACCTTCCGAAGGCGGCAAAAAGCCAAATGGACACCTCAACCGCCACTTTAAAAACGCTACACGACATGATACGCCTGCGAGAAGGCAAAATCCCAACACGACAGGTAAACCTGTCAATGCCAACTGCTCCTCTCGCCCGGCAGAAAATCTGCGACTTGGTTAAAACCAAGGCCCCAGGACTGGAACCCAAATATGCCAAGGAACTTCAGCGCGTAATTGAGCGGTACGTGGACGTATTCACCTGGAACGACACGCAGTTAAAGCTGAGAGATGCTGTAAAACACCGAATAGACACGGGAAACGCCCCACCAATAAAGATCCCCCCCAGGCGCATATCGGCGTTTTGGACAAAGGAACTAGCCAATACCATACGGCATATGGAGAAAAGCAACGTCATTCAACCATCCATCTCCCCTTGGTCTGCACCGATGGTGTTAGTGCACAAGAAGGACGCTTGTGCGTAGACTACAGAGAGCTGAATAAAGTGACTAAGAGGGATGCGTTTCCACTTCCGAGGGTCGACGATCTGTTCGACGTGCTGGCTAATGCAAAATACTTCAGTACTCTGGACTTGACGTCCGGATATTTGCAGGTGAAAGTGGAGGAGAAAGACCGCCCCAAAACAGCTTTTTTCAAACCCGCGGGGCTTTACGAATTCCAGACAATGCCGTTCGGGTTAGTGGACGCACCGGCCACGTTTCACCGACTAATACAACAGCCTTTGAAATGCCTAATTCCGAACCAATGCCTCGTCTATCTGGACGACATAATCGTTCACGGAACCACGGAAAAGAATCACTTGGATAATCTAAAGGCAGTCATCGACAGACTGAGAAGAACTGGTCTCCGTCGGAAACCGGAAAAATGCCACTTTATGCAGTCTCAGGTTGCATATCTCGGACACGCCATCCCGGCAGCAGGAGTTCACACAGACCCAAAGAAAGTCAAACAGGTGCAATCGTGGCCCACGCCAAAGAACCTGGAAGAAGTCAAGAGCTTCCTAGGTCTAGCGTCCTATTACAGACGATTCATTGTCAACTTTGTTCGAATTGCGTTTCCCTTACACGCGGTGTTGGAAAGGAACAAACCATTCCGAAGGGACGCCGAATGCAAAAAGTCATTCCAAACACTGAGAGAACGCCTTTGTTCAGCGCTCATCTTGACACTCCCTGACGCGTCCCTGTCAGTTGGACAGTTTATTCTTGACACAAATGCCAGCAACACAGCAATCGGCGCAGTACTGTCACAAACCGTACGAGACGGAAAGGAACACGTTATAGCCTACGGGAGCTAATGCTTAAGCAGAAGCGAAAGGAATTACTGTACCACTCGAAAGGAGATGTTAGCACTGGTGTTCTTTCTGAGACATCACAGGCACTACTTAGTTGGCCGCAGATTCATCGTCCGTGCGGACCATCAATCCCTATGATTATTACAAAACTTCAAAGATGCTGAAGGTCAAGCGGCGCGGTGGCAGGAGATATTACAGGAATACGACTTCGTTTGCCTCCACAGACCCGGGAAACAGCACAGTAACGCCGACGCGCTATCTCGACGCCCTGCCCGCCATCATGGTGATTAACCAACCTGCAACAACCAATATGTAGCAACAGTGTCGCTGCAACGCGCGGAATACGGGCGCTGGCAAATGACTCAAGCGAACGACCCAGAAACAGCGTTTATATACGATCGAGTTCGCACTGGCGGTGATCGACAATCAAGCAGAGAGATGGAAGGAAAAGCTACGAAACTCGGTGCCTTTGGTCGATGTGGAACCAACTGAAAATGACAAAGGGAGTGTTAGTTATTCATAATGGCCCAGACTACACATCACGAATAGTGGTACCGCAAACATTGGTTCGTGAGGTCCTACGAGACCTGCATACATAGTTGGGCCACGCGAGTATCAACAAACTGGAGTTTGCAGCGAGACAACGCTTTTGGTGGCCACGCATACGTAGGGACGTGGCAAACTTCTGCAACACATGTGAACTCTGCGGCAGTTTCAAAAACCCGCCCCACAGCTATCGGGCACCACTCCAGACAATCACTGCCGGATACCCAAACAAAATGGTCGACGTCGACATAATTGGATCCCTAACGGACACGCTAATGAACTACAGGTACATTCGTGTATTGGTGGACTACTTCACCAAATGGTGTGTGGCCGTACCACATGTCGATACTGTGACCGTGACGAATGCGATACTTGACAGATGAATCTAGAGGTGGGGCACACCCGGGTAATTGCACTCGGACCGTGGAACAAACTTCGAGAGCGCTCTACTGAGGGAAGTGTGCAAAGCCTTGGGAATAGATAAGACTAAAACAACAGCCTATCACCCTCGGGGCAAGGGCAAGGTGGATAGAACAAACCGCTCCTTAAAAGCGCTACTGAAGGCCTTCACAGACAACAACCCCCAAGAATGGGATCGCGTAATGCCACGCTGCCTCCTCGCGTACAACGGCACGGTCCAGCGATCTACGGGCCAAACGCCGCACTTCCTGTGGACCGTCAGAGAAATGAGACTCCCGAGCGAAAACCGACTACCAACGATTGAACGCCAGCCATGGACGGTCACAGAGTATGTANCGCGTACAACAGCACGGTCCAACGATCTACGGGCCAAACGCCGCACTTCCTGTGGACCGTCAGAGAAATGAGACTCCCGAGCGAAAACCGACTACCAACGATTGAACGCCAGCCATGGACGGTCACAGAGTATGTATCAAAGGTGATTGAATCACTAAGAACAGCGAACCAGATGGCTCGCACCCACCTCGAAGCATCGCAGAAGTACCAGAAGGATTATTACGATAGGAAATGCTTTTGAGCCCCATTGAAGACAGGCGACCGAGTATGGTTCAACAAGACACAGACGACGCCTGGGGTACCGACGAAACTTCACAAAGAATAACGCGGACCGTTTGTGGTAGAACGAGTACTATCGAAAACAAACTGTGTCATTCGGGAGGTTGGATCGACGCAACCATTCTTCGTGGTTCACTTCAACCAACTCAAACCGTACCTACCTCACGCATCGTTCGAGACAGACAACAACGAAGACACTTCAAATCCGCCAGAGGTTGCCGTTGAAGTAGAAGTGCCAGTTGAAGGAGGCTCTGCTAGGACGTCGACGGCGACGCTTTCGGGAGAAGGAGGTAGTGTGGGGTGAAACCGAAACTGATTGACGTTCGGTAATTGGATACCAAAGTACCGCTAACAAACATTCCCATTTCCCTTTACAGGCTGTACAAACTGCGTGGCGTCTAACACTGTGATACAAGACGCTGAGAGCAAAGACCAAAACAGCACCCACACGTAACATTACCCTTTTGTATTATAATCATTCCATATCCCTATAGTGTTGTTACGTTTGCATCAATATAACTTCGTTCAAGCCCCTCGAGTCTTCTCCTTGTTGGGTGCATACTACAGTTTTGTAACGACCTTGGCAAATCGCCATTGTAAGTGAGTCGTGTTCATGTCTCACTGGACCCTTCGGTTGAAAATCTGTCGTGGATCGATAAGTTCGCATTTTTACGTTTTATACGTGTTTTCCTATACATCTTTGCTTATATCCCTAATTGTGGCTAACCTAAACTAACTCTATTCCACCTTATTCCATTGCGATTTATATTTTACTAGTACCACTACTCTTTAACTATGTATTCTGAGCTCTCTGCCTCCTCCGATGAGGACACTTTACTCATGCGGGAAATCCCCATACTACATGAGGTGGCTGAAACCAGCGACTGGGCTAGCACTCAGATAGCGCTAGAACCGGCTCCAGTCGCCCTTCACCTGCAAGGTTCGATTATAAACGAACTGCGTGGAAAAGTCTCGGGACTAGATAACGACTTAAGTCACCTGACAGGGTTATTGAAGGATAACTTCCCAGCATGTGCTGCCGCAGGCCAGGCGATCGCGCTATCGAAGCAACAGGTATTCGACACTGCACCCAAACTAGAATCAGCGGCCATCAGCGCCAAATGGATTATAATCTGGGGT